TTAGGGGTTTAGGGGGTAGGGGCGGTTTGAGGGTTCATGCTGATGTTAGGGTGACCTGCTCATAAGTCCAGAGGCTGGACACATCATGGTGGCTTGAGGACAGGACACTCTTGATAAGTAATGCCCAGCGCAGCCTGCAAAGTCTCCTCAATCAATGCGGTCATGGTTCACCTTTCGTAATTCCACTTTACACTTACAGTACAGGGCTTAGAGCAGAGTTGGACTTCTAGCAGCCTTGCATGCTTCGTGAACTGAAAACCCCTTGTTACCAAGCATGAATCTTCATATAGAACATGCAGCTTTGCAGGACAAAGACCGCGCCTTGGCTTTACAGGAGGTTGAGCTGCTGAAGAGGCACACAGCTGAGCGTTTGAAAGCGACCTTTTTGATTGCAGTAAGGGTCTTCTCAACAGCAATCTTAAATGGTCGTTTCCAATTCATGTTCCGTCTTCTTTTTCATTTCCATTTCCCATTCTACCATGAAATACTGTATGGGGAACATCTACCCAGGGCGGTAGCTGTAATGTCGGTACTAATAGGTGGTGCCAGCAGGCATAGCAAGCAGACTTGTCCACAAGATTCTTCACACCTTCCATGGCTTCAGGTGCTTGAGGAGCAAATCTAACTACCACTAGATGGTAAACGTAAACGGCAGCAGAAAGGCATTTAGTTAGGCTTGTTTCAGGCAGAGTGATGGTGATGTCTCTTTTAGCGCATGACCGGCTCCTGAAGTTGAGAAACAAAGCTTCAATTACTAGCCCTGGCAAGGCTCAAGCATCCCAATGTGGCAGCTACCTCAGCCGAGCTCTGCAGTTGGGAAGCTGTCATGAGCTCCGACTAGCAGTGCACTTACCCTACGTCAAGCTTCTAAGTCGTGAGCTAGTTTTTCAATTAGGGGTGGAGGGCTTCGTGTTCAGGACAAGTCCTGCAAGGAAACGGGCCGGAAATCAAACAAGGCCACCTGTTGTGGAGATCACATCATGGGAGGGTCTGTAAGCGGACTCTCAATTTCGATGCCAGTCGCCAGTTAAGATTGAAGTTGCAGGGTCTTCCCGGTGGCATGCGCAGATATCAGCGACTGTTTTATTGGACATAGAGTGTGTTCACAGAGTATATGTATACAGACAGCTGGCACGAAGTCCGTGGCCTCCAGAGATGTCTTATAGGTTCCAGGTCACTGCGTGTTGGCATTGTGGGCCTTGACGACTAGAAGGCTTCATCCGACCTGCAAACGGGACTCCTCATTCTCAAATATCTCGGGAGCTCGTTGTGATTCCATTTCAAGCTTCAGAACCTTTACTACTATTCATATTACTGTAACTATAACTACTACTACTACTACTACTTCTGTTATTACTATCACTATTAGTATTGACATGTTTTATTTCTACTGCTATTGCTGTACAGAGATTCTATGGGGATTATGTCATGTAGGGTTATACAGGGGTCATGCGGGGATTGCATAGGTTGTATAGGGCTCCTACTTGTGCACCAGGGCTTTGCGCCACAGGTCCAGCACCACGCGTCCTTCCTCCATCATAGAGGTTGGCAAGTCAGTTCCTGCAGAGCGCACGAAGTTTCGCCAGGGAGTTCTTGGCGGTCTCAGAACGTGGGACTGTTGTTGTCTCCCAAGATAAGAGCTCCAAACACGTCTCACGGCTGGTCTTGTGTTTTCTCTCATGCAAGGCGGCCAGCTTGCACAGGTGAGAAATCGCGCCAGTAGCTCTCTGAGACATCTTTATCTTTATGGCTCTGTAGTATGGGAAGGAATTTTGGGTCGGTCTCCAACCTGAATGACATGGTTGAATCCAGCTCGTTCTCCAGTTGTTCGATCAGGATGAGTGGAGTTTATACTAGACTGGGTTAGCTTGGATGCTTGAATCCGTTTTCAGATCAAATTCATCAGACCGACTCAGGTGTCTCGAAACAGAAACAGTGTGGACCCTATTAATGCCAAGCCGCGGCCAGGAACGACTCCCCATACAGGGGAAGCGCTGGTCAATGTCATGGAATACTGCGCAGGTGTGGAGTGCGTAGGTAAGCGGCCAGAATCAATGCCAAAGAATGAAGTACGCTTACAGTTATCTGGGAAGGGCTTGTTGTCTAGGGGCATATTCCGGAACCGCCTGTCCACTTGCTGGGGTTTCTTGTGATGGCTACCTGATTCTTATGAGGTGTGTGGAGGCTTGTGTCTTGAGAACAAAACCGCACAAGAGCCTCCACAATCCGCGCATGGTCTCCTGTCCGAGAGGTTCTTGCTGTTCCTAAACATATCTCCAGGCAATCTAAGTGGGCCCTGTCAATCACCATCCAATCCTTATGTAGACCCTATCCTCATTGCATAGAGAGGAGCCCATCTGATTGGCATTGCAGGTGGCGACCTAAGGGTCTGGCTTGAGACATGCGCGGCCGCTGAAGAGTCCCATGCTGAGTAGCAGAGGGTGAGTTGAAGGTCTAGGAATTAGCCAAAAGAGGGACCTTGTAGCCGGAAGTACCATTGAAAAGAAGGACTGCGCAAGAAGCAGGTCCCTTATGCTTCTCCATCACTAGCTGCATAACGCTGATGTGGGGACTCGACCTTCAAGGTCGTAGATCTAGGGTTTGGAGATCAGCTCCCGGTCCTTCGATGAATATTTCCTGTGCTGTGCATTTATTCTCAGGCTTGTCTGCGAAACTGGCTAGTTCGTAGGGGGCTCACGCGCACATCCCCGGAATAAAAGTCTGAGGCCGTTGACTTAAAGAGCAGCTGGTCTAGAAATCGCCACATTCCAGGTTGCAGATGACATCTGGACATGTGCGCATCTTTATTGCCGTGATTCTTGTGGAATCCTCCCTGGTAGCCCAGGCGCCTTCCAGAGGAGTCTGTGCTGAGCCTCTTTGTGCAGATGCTGAAGGGAGTAGGTTATGCAGGATGCTCAGCATGTGATGCAAACGGGATACTAGGGATGTCCTTGGCGAGTATGAAGGATCCTGCAACTTCACTCGCATGCAGACCAGCAGCTAGAAAGCACTTGATGTTTACCATGATGGCCTGCTATGGCATGTCGACGGTTGATCCTGATCTGAGTCCCAAGTCTGATTGGTGGTGTTGGTTGGCCTGCCCTACCTACCAAAGACCAATAAATAGACTACCCATGTTTTTGTACGATTCGGCTAGACACAGTCATTGTGCTTGCCTTCCTAGGGCAACTTGCATGGTAAGCACCTACACAGGTCCACTCGTGCAGAATCCTTCATCGTGACCTGAAGACGTCCAACATGTGTCTTGGCTTGCAATGTACCGAAGCACCCGGAGGGCTTTATCGCTGGAATCACGCTAACAGGTCTTTGCCACACGATTAAGCGGTGCCAGATAAGGCTGTTGGGTCAGTTGGTGCTTACTCGAGTGGCACTTGCCAATAAGCATGCTGAAAGAGAAGGCTGCTTGACCAAGACCACCGCATCGTGAAAGCCGCGGGCTCAGTGCGTGTGAATTTACCTGCAGATCCAACGTTTCACGTGTGCTCGGAGGGGCCTCACACAAAAACACAAAACAAGATCCCAAGAACATAAAATGGCCGGAGGTCGGCGACTTCGGGATCGCCCGTGTCCTGGAGAGCACCACGGCCGTTGCCGCCACGATGCTTGGGACTCCCTACTACATGTCACCCGAGGCCAGGAGAAATATGTGGGGAGGGGATTCAGGAAGTTTAGGAAGTTTAAGAGATTTATAGAGTTTATAGGGTTTGGGCGGAATGCTTAGTAATGCTTGAGACCTTAAAGTTCAAGGCAGGGCGACCCTTCGACTTTGCAGGGATTATCCCTGCAGCAGCTGAGGGTTTCGAGTTTTGAGGTCGTGAGATTTTGATTCCAGGTATGTGCTCCTCCTGTACAGAGTTGTCCTTTCCTCCGTGATACTGAGCTTGCTTGGACCCCTCTGAGTGTCAGAAATGTTCAGTCTGGGCAGCAGCCTGAAGATTGGAAGTTCATGTTATGATTGCGGAGAGAGCAATAATTAGCGCCTGCGAGAAGCAATCTGGACGCCTATCGCGACGTGATATTCGTGTTTTGCCAATAGGTTACCGACCTGGATCGCTGCCCAAATTAGATTTTGAGGAGAGTCAGCTGACTGTGGCATTTTAATGTATCCATACCACTTCAGATAGATGCTCATGAAACCGCTCTCCACTTGTGTTCTTGCGCATTGTCACGCTACGAGCCAGGCAGACCTCAGGTTCAGGGGCTCACGTAGCAGCTGCCTCTCAGCTCAGGCCACCCCCCCAGCTCCCAAGCGCCCAAACATGGCGGACGTGCTCGTCGTGGGCGGTGGAGGTCGCGAGCACGCCATTGCAGTGACTGATCTCTTGTAAGTTAGAAGCTTTAATCACATTCTTACGAGTTTGCGTAGCGTCTGTCTGTGGCCCGGCAAGAATCGTTATGAAAGCAGTTTCTCGAACAGGCTTGTTTAAGAAGTGTCGCGGAGATAGTTAAGGTGAAGTTGCGCGATTCGCCCAAAGTCCGGCATGTTTACTGCGCACCCGGAAGCTTGTCCGAGCACTTCGAGATCTTGTTTCCAGTGTTTGTGCAACGCACATAGAATTCACCCAGACTACTCACACCCCAGTTCTGGTAAGAAAACCATTGAAATGTGTATTCCAGCTGGAGAGCCTGTGACGTGGTGATAAGATGAACTTGCCAGAAGTCATCGCTTCTGATTACCAAAACATAAGAACAAGCCCAACGTGAAACGTCAAAGGTTTGTGTCCATGATAAACTTTTTAATATTGGGGTGTAGCAAGAGGATGCACGCAGCGGTTGGTCCTCATACTGCAATTGTGTCACTTTGTGTGATGGAGGGCCTGCAAAACTTTTATGCCCCTCAGATAGCCAGCATGCTTGCTGTTGTTTTGGGATGTTTTGGGTCGTCAAAAGCTCTTTGGGCCCTGCTTTTTGTGCCCTCCTCCTAAGAATTATACCGCGCGATGCTCCAAGGAAATGGAGGCACCGCCACAGAGGAAAGGATGACAAACCTCGCGGTGAGCGACAGCGACGTGGCCGGCTTGGTGAAGGCTGCACAGGACAGACTGGGACTTGAGTTTATGGTTGGTGATATTTATTTCTGTTCTTACTATGCGACGAGAGCAAGAAGAAAACCAGCATTTAGTTTTTAAACTTAGCAAGGATTACGATTCACATCCATTTGCAAACCGTCGTGTGAACATCCTCTAACTTTGTTGCAATAGCCGCAGGGCCGCTGCTTAGTAGCTGTTTACTGGGGGATTACAGGTCAGGGAATTTCGAGGGATGAGGTTTCGGGCTTGGGTTCCACATTGCGGCATACGAGTTGTTGATTACGAATCAGGCGCCTGACTTCTGCAAAGGCCGGCAAAGTACATCTATAAAAGCCCGACACTTTAGCTTTCCTATTTTTGGCTAGGATGTGGGTGCATTCCAACACCTCCCGAATTCCTGTGCAATCCTTTCGCTGCATCCCCACGCCTGTGGTTTTCCAGGAGAAGCAAGTAGCCCTGGTCTTTGTGGGCCCCGAGGCGCCACTGTGCGCAGGCTTCGGACGCAAAATTTTGACTTCGGACCTGAGATTAAGGGTTGAACTCAGGGTGCCAGCTTGAGGAGGTTCCTGAGGGCAAGCCTAAATCTCTGAGGCCTTACAGGGACAGTGCTTGCTCATCCGGAATCAAACATGCTTCTCTACTTGGTTCCCAACACGCTCGGTCCCTAAAGCCCAGAATCAAAAACTCAACCCCTGCCTCTCTGGACTATTCCCCGCACCCCAAACCCTGCATCTCTGGACTATTCCCAGAGCCCAAATCCTAACCCGCTCCCCAATGAAGCAACAAAGCGTTTGAAGGCCTCGCGGATGCCTGCGCGGCAGCCGGCCTGCCGTGCTTTGGACCCACAAAGATGGCTGCCGAGCTCGAGGCGTCCAAGGCCTTCTCCAAGGACCCAGGGTTAAGGGTGCCAACTGTTAGGGCTCGCTCGTATAGGAATACTCGCACAACGGAAACTACTTTTTTGGGTTTAGGGTTTAGTGTCTGGGATGTTTCAGGGCAACACTGGAAGTATAGGGTATAGGGAGCATACTAGAAATGACTATAAGTGTAGCATCTCACAAGAGAGTTTCCTGTGTTTCGGTGATTGAATAGGCCAGCGAGGGGGATTGGGATTCTTCATCCCAGAGGGACTTTGGCCTGGGTTTTCTGCTTGGAAGTGTGTTGCTTTCCAAGATGTATCCCCAACGGTGATTCATTGTAATGATTCTTGGGAGTCTTCTTTGGTTCTGTATACCTCAAGAGAGGACTTCTTTGCCAAGTACAACCTGCCTACGGCCGCCTACCGGAACTTCAAGTCCGGAGAGCATGAAGCTGCCTTGAAGTATGTGGAAGACGAATATGCAGCCGGAAGGGAGGTTGGGGCTTTGCTGAATTCGGGGTTGCTTCGCGTGCAGATGCCATGATGTGGCAGACGAAGGCAGTATGACCAGGATCCCATGTGTATTGACATCTTATCGTACTCTTCATGCGTGTAACAGGCCTGTCAGCACTCTGTACTAGAACCAGCCATACAGCCCTCATTCCAAACACTCCACCGCAAAACGTAAGACTCAAAGCCTCTGCACTTCGCATTGGCATCATGCAGTCCCAGGCCTACCCGAGTAACCATATCCTCCTTCGGATCTTTCTGTATCGTGCCAAGAGCTCCAGTATCCTGGGCTTCACTCTTCATCATCTGGGATGTGTTAAAATGTCGATGCTGTACTTCCTGGTGATCAGGATCTTGTAGTTAAGATCAAGCTCCTGCCAGGGGACCCTTAACCACCCAAGCCTGCTTCCTTTCCTGCGCCCTGTCATGATGCTGCGTGTAACATTGCTACTGTTCTCAAGTTGTGTGAACTACTGGGTCATGGCGGATGTTCGTCAGAATTCTGTTAAGCTGACAGTGACAACAGCGCAAAAAGCTGCAGGTGGTGGTAAAAGCCAGTGGTCTGGCAGCAGGAAAGGGCGTCTTAATGCCCCAGTCTGTAGAGGAGGCCAAAGCAGGCGTGAAGGAGGCAGTGGGAGGGCATAGCTCATGATTCGTGGATTTTGGGTATAGAGTTGACAAGTCAGGTTTTGGGACGCGATCGGGAATGTTGGTTTGGTGGCATAAGTGGTTTCTGCTGGAGTCCTGAAGGAGTGTTGTTTCGAGACTCTGGATGCCATGATCATGCAGCAGTGCTGATAGCGTTTTCTGTAATTTTTGGGATGCATTGACCAATGCCTTAATGGTGAGGATGTTTGTGAAGCTTCTCACAGCTTGAGTTCTACTATCATCATGATTGTTGAGTTGATTCTGCACAAAGACATGCGGTGTAGCACTATTTCTATTCTCACTACATTGGCTGCTCTCTGTATTGCGTTTGAGCTTGAAGTCTGGCCGTTCGGGGGTTACTACTACGTGCCAGCTAGGACGGGGACTTCAGCCTCTGGATTCGCCCTAAGCGGAATTTGCCTTGACGGGGCGTGGCAGGGTTTGGGTCCAATGGCTATTGCATAGGGGCACATAGCCCCAAACATCAAGACCTCAGTGCTCAAGCCCAAATGCCCAAAGCCTTGAAGTCACAAAACCGGAGTTTGAGCTCCAGGTGATGGTGGACAAAGTCTTTGGCGCAGCGGGCGATGAGCTGGTTGTGGAGCAGCTCCTGATCGGTGAGGAGTATTCTGCCCTTTTCCAAAGTTGTTCAGACATGAGAATAATCTGGGGAGTTGAAACTTGTGGCGATTCTAATGCAAGCCTATGAAGGCTTATGTGAAGAGGAGCTTGGAGTAAACCCTACACCTACACTAATCAAACCGGCTGCGAAGGAGTGCAGCTGTATGGCTTTTGCTGATGGCCAGATCGCTGCTATGATGGCTCCTGCACCTGGGTCATTGTTCGAGGTTCTCAAAGTTGTGGGTTCGCTTAGTTGTTCATGGGGGTTTCGAGGTATTTTGTTGGGGTTTCAAGATGGGGTTGATGGCTGTTTGTTCTGCACTTCAACCTCATCGAGGGAAAACAGTGTTCTCTTTCGGATTCTCCCCTCTCGTCTGAGGACACGATACTGAGGCCTCATACATCCCCGCATGTCGTACTTGTGTGATGAGCAATCGTGTGTACTGTGGTTCCAAAGCTCTATGCAAACATGTTCTGCATGCCCGTTTAGGCACCGACGCTCAGAAAATCAATCAGAAAAGCGAACCTGCTTTTTGAAAAGCTTACGGCGGTCCCTTGCCCAGGCGCAGGACCACAAGCGAGTAGACGACAACGATCAGGGCCCCAACACGGGCGGCATGGGTGCCTACGCACCGGCACCATGCCTAACGCCTGAGCTCAAGGTTCTTGGGTCGAGAAAGCTGGCTAACGGAGAGTTTTCATTTGAGAAACACTAGCCTACACCCCCCCCCCAATTGGTGTGTCTGACGCAGTAATACATGATTAAAGATCTTGCGCGCAATTGTGTTGAACTTTATCCCAAGCATAGCATGAGCCAGGTTCAAGTAGAGGAAGTGCTCCAAAGAACGGTGGAGGCCTTGGCCAAGGAAGGGCGGAAGTATGTGGGCGTGCTCTATGGTGGCTTCATGCTCACCAAGGATGGCCCCATGCTGCTGGAGTACAACTGCCGTTTTGGGGATCCTGAGACGCAGGTCCTCTTGCCTCTGTTGGAATCCGACCTCTTCGAGGTTGCCTTGGGCTGCGCGGAGGGCAACTTGAAGGCGAGGGTTCCAGAGGTTCAGTGGAAGTCCGGCGCCGCAGCGACCGTGGTCTGCGCGGCTAAGGGTTACCCTGGCTCCTATCCCAAGGGCTTGCCCCTGAGTGGCCTGGAAGCCGCTAATGCAGTTGAGGGCGTGAAGGTCTATCATGCCGGTACCAAGGCTGCCGAGGGCGGCCTGGTGACCAGTGGAGGACGCGTTCTGGCGGTGACTGGTCTGTCCACCAGTCTCAAGGATGCTCTTCACAGGTCGTATGAGGCTGTTTCAAAAATCAGCTTCGATCCTCCGGGAGCCACTGGGTCCATGCACTTCCGAAAGGACATCGGCCACAGGGCCCTGAAAAGGCTGGAGGCTGCTTGAAGCTTCTTGAAGCAGATTCACCTCCTGAAAAGCAGAGAGGAGTTTGCCACTCTAAGCCTCGCAAAATCAGCAGGATCTGCTTGTCGCGCTTATGGACATTTTGGAGAGGGACTTCCAGAACTTGGGGAAGACGTTGGGCTGAAACTTCGGAGGATCCTGTAGATTCCACGGATCCTGCACGCTCTTCCATCAGCTCTGACAGCTTTTGATTAGACTTGTGAGCTTTTGTGCAGTTATATAGGAGCTTTGTCTTGGACTCCACAGGAGCCCTTTCAAAATCTCTTGACAGCTCCAAGATAGCGGCAAGTGAAAACGGCCTTCGGCACTGCGCGATTTGGCCTTTTAGGTGCCCGAGTTGAATAATTATACGTCATTCCTGGCGTCCTCTATAATTATCAGTCATGAGAATCGGACAGTGCCCAGCACTCCCACGGCTTTGCACTCTGAGTCGTTAGCTACCGCGATCAATGCTGTTTCCATCTCCACCGCACGCGCCGTGGAGGTATGTAAGGGCGAGCCTTACCGAGACAAGAGCGACATGTGGTCGCTGGGGTGCGTTCTCTACGAGATGCCAGCATCCTCAGTTCTGTGAATGTTGAAGTTGTTGGTTATTGCTGCTACGCTGATCTGTTCTGAGTGAGTAGTGGCCGAGCGGCCAGACCATTGCCCAGGGTTTCCATCAGAGTATTCAAGCAGATGTCAGCTTGTAACACTTCCATCGGAAAGCCATCTGGACACGTCATGTGGCCCAATCCGATTGCCTGGATGCAAGAGGCTCAACATCATGTCACCAGAACAAAACCATTCCTGAACAAGACGCATCTACACGATTCCCAACTGTAGGGCTGGGACCCCGCAACTCATGCAAATTCCTTTGGTGGCAGTTTTGAAGCCCCAAGACCCAGGTGTCGCCTGCGCCACGCCTTTGAGCGCGGGCCCTTGACATCCATGCCTGCCAGCGGGTCCTTGAAAGTCATGTGCCCCATTTGGAGCACCACCAATAAAGATTGCCACAGAAAGTATGTCAGAGGGACGTGAGTGTGCAGGGATAGCCCAACTGGTAACCCTTCTGCAATTGCCGGTGTTGATCGTCATCGCTGCGCCCAGGTCGTAAAGTGACAATGACTAGCCCTCGCATACATACAGTCATGGACACGAGTTGGTAGCTTCTACGAGTCATTTTGTCAGTAGCTGAAATTCCCTGAACCTTGCCTCCCTTAATCCGTAAACCTCAACATCCAAGTGACATCTCAGTTGTGAGGTCCCAATCTCTGCTTGGGCTGGTCTACTGCATCGTACGGGGCCAAAGCCATCTAGGCTCAAGGTATTTCAAGAAATTGTAAGCCCATATGCGGTTACGATGGATCGAAAGGAAATTGCCTGGAGATTTAAGGAAAGCCCGTTAAGTCAGGGGTGGCATGGATGAGCTTCTTAGGGACGTTTGACTGATAGGCTCAGGGCCTGGGATTTGGGTTTGCTGTCTTTTGGTGTCTTGGTGTAGGTGGAAGATGTCAGGTTCCAAGGTGGCACATTGAGGGCCAGGGGCGTAGGGCTGTCTAAGATCATGGCTTCTTGGGGGGCTTCCCAGCGTAAGCCGCGCACATAAAAAGGATCTTGATTTGTGTATCCGGCGCTTGGCACCACCTAGGCCCCCTACCCTCGGTATTTCTGCCCGATATACAAGATAGCCATCCCCTACCCTAGCTATCTCACCCCAAGATCGGCAATCCTAAATTGCCCTTGAACTCAAGCCACAATCTAAAGCCTCATCATGATGCTCCTCGGACAACCCCAACAACCCATCTCAGCACCTTACCCTTACTCCAAATGGTGGGTTACGGTTGAGTTGAGTCAAGCAACTACCGTAATCCCTTTGTGATTCGGAACAGATTCTGGGTTGCATATTTAGTATAGCTGTAACGGCATAGAAGTATACACTAGCCAAACAATGATTTTCCCTTTTTGGCTTTGTATCTGTTTCTCTGCATGCCTGTTCTTCAGCTATATCTGGCTCTGGTCTTCTGAGGTTTTGTTTTACTTCTCCAAGCGGGAGCATCCCTTCAAGAAGTGACTGGCATAACTTCTTTAGGTATTCCTTTCATTGTGCCAGTGTCTTCCGCTTGTTGACAACTCATCCTGTAGTCTTTCCCTGCCTCTCTACATCCGCAATGTGTATCCATCTTGTTGCTGTGACTTTTCGGTAGGGTGCGGCAGGTGTGCCAAACGGAGATGGCTCCAATTTGTTTTTGGTGGGTATGTATGTGGAGACCCTGAATGGACTAGGAGAAATGCCCGTGAGAGGTTGTGTGAGGCATTTGGTTTTTCAAAGTCTAAGTTTGTGGAAGGTTCCGTCAAAGAACAAGACACTGGGGACTCTCAACTTGAGAGCCGCACCCAGCCCAGGGATATTGGATGAGACACTCCAACCAGCAGTTGGGTATACGTAGACCGTGAGACGCGTAGCCTGGGTACTTTCCTTGGCATTGTTACAAGTGGTCTCCTGCAGAGGCGTTTAGCATGACATAAGCGCCATGAATCCTCAGGTGTCGGAGCACTATGACCCGATTCCAGACATTTACGCTCCGGAGGTCTCAGAGGCTTGCAAGTTCATGTCACTTTCAACTTTGCAGGTCAGGGGCTTTTGTGCAACTTGCGTATTGCATAGCATGAAATGCCAGTCTTGAACGACAGGTCGAAACAAGGTTAGAGAATGGAGTACGAGCGTTCGCTCGCGATCAGACATTGTGTTGCAGATGATTGGACAAGGGAGGATGTTGCAATGACAATACTTGAAGCTTCTATTATGACTAGTACTGCTATTACTCTTCCTCCTATTATTATGTTTATGCTTACAATCTGGTACTTTTACTAGGATTGCAGGCTTGTTAGAATCCCCGACGAGCAGACCACTGGCCATGGCTAAGCTGGGATGATTCCGAAGAGCGACCTGCAAAACATGCATTGTATTCCTTACTGAGGGTTAGTAGGGAATAAGGGAATATATTACAATTGTGGTCCTAGACCCTCCATCTAGACCATATAATTTTTTTTGCGGGTAGAAGGAGGGTACCGGGTATCGCTACTAGGTGGTTGCCCTAAGGCG